GCCTTAACAGCAGTAGGGTTGGTATAGAATCTGAAATAGAAGAAGAGGTCTTCCTAAAGACAAAACAAAGACTCCTCTCCTGGCGCCCAACCCAGGGCAGCCCTGATCTAGCTACAGCTACACAAAGCCTGATTATCGCCCTCCCTCAAGAGGTTAAGGAAGGCTTCCGCCTGTTTGGACAGTCAGGCCCTGCCCGCCTGCTACCCCCGAGGAAGCGTATCCCCAAACGACACTCCCCTGGCTGCCAGGGCTTTCACTCAAACCGCTACTATACCCAGAAACCCCTCTGCGAGAACTGTAGCAAACCCTTAGATACTCATGGGGCTGGAATCTGCTCAGCTAGGCCTAGGTGTGCTAACTGTCATGGGCCCTTCCCAGCAAGCCATGCGGACTGCCCAGCTAGGCCCCTACTGGTTAACAGGAACCTTACTATTCCAACCCGGAAGGAACTGCGAGGGATCCAGAAGGTTGGAGAGAAGGCGTCTGACGACCTCCTTGCAAACCAGGCTGGCTCCCCAGGAAGCAGCACACAGCAAGCTGAGGCTAGGCTAAGCGCTACATCTAAGCGCCCTCGACCCCTCACACCTACGCAAGACTCGATTATTGTGGCAGATACTGCTAGTATAGCTGGGAGCAGCAGTATGGAGGAGGATGAGGCTGAAGATTCTGAAGCCCTCCCCCCCCTAACTAACCGCCCTATCCATCCACTCCCAAGCAGCAGCAGGAGCCAGAGGGTAGCACAGAAGCCTGACTATAACGTTACTAATGCCTACACCCACCTCGGCCTCGACTCAGAGCAGTAGGCTCAGAATGGCTACCCCACGGGTACTACGGGTCGCCTAGTGTAACGTGGGGAAGATAAGTCCAGCTCACACAGCTCTCCTAGAGCTCTGCTGGGCAGATCAGATCGATATAGTACTGATCCAGGAACCCTGGATAGGCTATAGAGATAAGATGCAAATTAACACACACCCAGGCTATAACTCTTATGTGCCAGTAGACTTCTGGAACAGCAGGGACATAAGGCCTAGGGTTATGACCTATACACGTAAAGGTCTAAGGCTGCAGATATAACAACAAAGACCTACCTAATCAAGGGATATCCTATAGGTTAAGGTTGGCAACTTCACCATCACAAACGTCTATAGGCCACCAGGCGAGCCTATAAACCATACAACAAGTACCCTCCTAAGCTATCAACCGCCAGCAGGAGCTCTTATAGCTGGGGACTTTAACGCGCACTGCCCATACTGGGAACCTGGCTCCCGGAGCCGGAACCGGGGAGACGACATCGCGGAATAGGCTGAAGGCCACGATCTTGAGTTTATTGGGGAGGTTGGAGCTGCTACCCACACTTATGGGCACACCCTCGACCTAACCTTCTCAAACATCCCCTTTGCTGAGGCCTATATTAGCCCACATATACACCCAGGGGCTGATCATCAAGCTATTACGACTATTATACTGATAAGCAAAGCCTAGGAACAGAGGCGTCAGACTAGCCACCCTACAGTCCCAGACTCAGCTATACTCCGGCTAGCTGACCTAGTTAAGCTGGGGATCCCAGCCCTACCTACCCTAGGGGATACACCTACTCCAGCAGAAATAGACTCTCTAGCTACCCAACTAGTCAGCCTCCTCTCTACAGCTATAGAAGCAGTAGGGAAGAGACGGACTAACCAGGGCAGGGGAGCCCCCTGGTGGGCAGAAGAGTGTTCAGAGGCCTATCGAGCAGCTATTGAGGCTAGGCGACGACAAGCCCAAGAACCTGGGCTAGTAATACCACTGCCTATCCTAGAGGAGCAGAAGGCCTTTCTGACTATAGTCAGGAAGGCAAAACGCGCCTACTGGGCTGCTAAGATTGAGGAGGCTGGGTCTAACCAGAACTTATACCAGATACTAAGCTGGCGTAAGTCTGGGCTAGCTATTAAGGCCCCACCTCTAATAGTGGATGAACAGGCTATCAACAACGGTTACAATAAGGCCCAAGCCCTGCGGAAGGCCTTATTAGAGAGATTTGATGCTGCAGACGACCTACCTGGGAACCCGTTCACTGTCCCTATAGTTGCAAGGCGTCTAATACCCTGGCAGCATATAGTCAGCATAGAGGAAATACGCCAGGCTACTCTCACAAAGGCTACAACCCCTGGGATTGATGGGATCACTACTAAGTTACTACAATCTATTTGGGGCCTAATAGCTACACCGGTACAGCAGCTTTTCCAAGCCTGTGTCCGCATAGGCTACTTCCCTAGGACTTTCCGAAAAGCAGAGGTAGTTATGATCCAGAAGCCGGGGAAAACAGACTTCTCAAAGGCTGGATCCTGGCGGCCAATAGCCCTCTTATCTTGCCTAGGCAAGGGCTTAGAGCGGCTGATAGCAAAGAGAATGGCATATCTCACCATTCTGGAAGGGGTTGCTAGCCCACAGCAGGTTGGGGCATTGCCAGGGAGGGCTGCAGTCGACCTAACAACCTGTCTAACCCATGAGATCGAAAGGGCTCTAGACTTAGGGCTTACTGCAACTCTAGCAACAATGGATGTTAAGGGGGCTTTTGACTCTGTCCTACGAAATCGACTTATTCTTAGGCTACGACAGCAAGGCTGGCCTAGTAGTCTGATTAGGCTGATATTTACCTTTGCTTCTAGCCGGACCGCCCGACTCAGGCTAGAGGAGACTACTACAGAGGACTTCCCCCTATCCTGTGGGCTCCCTCAGGGCTCTCCGCTATCCCCTATCCTTTTTCTGCTCTATATAGCTGATATCCTAGCTGATAACCAGAAGCTGCGGTTCGGCTATGCAGATGACATAGGCCTGCTGGCTACTAGCCCTTCTCTAGAGGGAAACTCTGCAGCCCTTAGCCAGGAGATAACTCAGATCCTCAACTGGGGTATTGATAATAAGGTTGCGTTTGACCCAGCTAAGTGTGAAGCAATCCACTTCAGCAGGAAACATAAGCAGAGGGAAGACCTACCAGAGATACAGGCAAAGGACCTAACTATCAAGGCCTCAACTAAGCCTATACGATGGCTAGGGGTCTGGTTTGATAAGAAACTCACCTTCCAGCACCATGTCGATACAAAGGTAGCAGCAGCAAAGAAGGTAGCCCAGTTCCTACGCCATCTATCAAACACCAAAGGGGGGCTCCCAGCTGCTGCTGCCCGCCAAGCTGTTATTGCCTGTGTCCTCCCAACCGCCCTATACGGAGCTGAGACCTGGTATGCAGGTTTAAAGAGACCAGCCAGAAACAGCAGCACTACTGCTACTAGCAGCAGTGCTAATAACCAGGCAGCTACTGTTAGTACAAGGCAGAAGGGCTTAGTAAAGAGGGTAGAGAAGGTTATAACAGCAGCAGCAAGGGCTATCCTACCCGTCTGGAAGACTACGCCCACTAGTAGCCTCCTTTGAGATGCTGGCCTGCCAACAGCAAAAGTAGCCCTCGAAGGGGCACGCCTACGCTTTGCTACACGCCTACAGAAGGTTGACCAACAGCACCCTTTAGTCCCTAGGCTTTCACAGCCAGGGCGGCAGCAAACAAGACTACAAAGAACATCAGCCCTCCTACCTAGGTGCCCAAGGCCGTTACTCCTACAGCCGCAGCATCTTTCAGGACTACAAGACCCTACAGCTGGACGAAGCAAGGAGAAAGCAGCTAAAGCGTTTCAAGACTGGCTTAAGACTGTGCCAGATAACCATACGATCATCTACTCAGACGGCTCTAAAGCCCCTAACGGGGCTACAGGTTTCAGCTTTGTTATCTACCGCAGTAACAAACGCATAGCTCAAGGGTGTAGCCGCCTCGGCATTGCGGAAGTGTTCGACGGCGAGGCAGAGGGGGCGAGGGCAGGGCTCCGAAGGGCCCTCCTGACTTCCCAAGGCCAGCCTATACACATCTGTATTGATAACACTAGCGTTATCCAGGGGATCCGAGGTGAGGCCCCGGAATCCTCACAAGCTGCCTTCCTAGAGATCCAGGAAGCAGCTAGGATACACAATAGACAAACCCACTGGTCCCCAGGGCACCAAGGGATAAAAGGGAATGAGGAGGCTGATAGCCTAGCTAAGGAGGGTACAACGCTACCAGTCCCCAGAGGCCTACTAGCTACCCTAGCAGGGATCAAGCGGCTTGCTCAAGAGCGTAAACGACACCAGTATGGGAAATGGTGGAGGCAAGAGGCAGCCTCTCGCTATATACAACTAGGGCTTAAGGCTACCCTGGCCTGCCCCCCTGAACTAGCCTTACCACGGGTAATCCTACATCATCTCCTAGCAGCCCGATCAGGCCATGGGGACTTCGAACAGTATCATCAACGCTTCAACCATACAGAAGCACTGCTTACCTGCTCTTGCGGGGAGGCTAAGGAAGTAGACCATCTGGTCTACTGCCGAAAGACCTTAGTGGGGAGGCAACAGTGGCCTACCCTCTACCCTTATGGTCGCCAGGAGCCTATAGGACCTATAGGATCTCTTGAGCGCTACTTCAAGGGGCTAATCACTGACCATGAAGGCTTCCAGGCCTTCCTTAGCGTGACAAACTTCTTCCAGAAGATCTGCCCGCAGTACTGAGAGATAGGCCATAACCTATACTCCAAAAAAAAAAAAAAAAAAAAAAAAAAAAAAAAAGTCTACCTCATAGGGGAGACCAGACTACTATAACGGAACTAGGGCACCAGTGGGAACTAGGGATGGATAGAACACGGAAGTGACTCACGAGTAAGATCTGGAGGACGGGAGGGACAGCGTGTACTGTATAGTATATAGCGAGAACCTACGGCCCTCCACGCCACATACCCTTCGGGAGGTCGGCCGCAAGGGCGGCTGCGCCCTTGCCGCCACGGCGTTAAAAAAAAAAAAAAAAAAAAAAAAAAAAAAAAAAAAAAAACCCTTTCCCTCCTACATCTATCAGCCATTCCGCATCCACGAATTACTCCACAGTACATTTTCCCTCACATCAGTCCTTTGCTGACGAGAGTCAACAACAACCTGTCACGACTTTCACCATGCCCAACCCCACCCCCACAGATCAAGCCATGACAGTCGAAAGGGGCCCTTGGATGGGAACGTTTGCAGCTTCATTCCCACTCGATCCCAAATGGGATATCATACTTGGCAATCTTCCTGTTTCTATCAGGGATAAAGTCGACATCGCGCGAACAGTACTTCACAAAGATATTGGTACTGAACTGGAAGAAAAGTTTCAAATCAAATCCCTCCTCATAGCCACAATGGCCCATGGAGACCTGAAAACCGGTTCTAGTATTAATGCGCTTACCGTCGGCGTCTCTTATGATGGCCTGACAGTGGGAAAGGTTGACGGAATCATGCAGGTTTTAGCTGAGATTCTGAAGCGCCAGGATGATCTTCAAGTCATGCTAGTACACTCAGTCATGGGTTGGTCTTTGGGTAGTCTGCCTATCTACTGAGGAACCTCTCACATCAGTGTCACACTCAGCGAAGGCGTCGACCGACTTATGACCAAGGTGAGAAAGCCCGCACTCTTTGTTTGATTCTCAGCACTAATTTCATTCAGAGATGGAGCCCACGCATGGCGCAATGGCGATACAGTCATGACCTTGATCCTTCGCATGGTATGTTGCGGGGAACTTGCTGTGGAGGGTTGACTCACAAGTCCCGAAGGCCTCTTCGTCGTGGGTGGGGTGTCAAATTTTACAATTGCAAGCGGGCATGTTTAGGCGAAAGCCCTGTGTTTTATCTCTCCCTTGTATGCTGTGATGCCGCGCTTCAGTCCAGCTGACTGACACACAACTCTTTATCTTTGAGACATTCTGCGGTGAAACCTCTGACTCTGGATTTCCGATTGTTGTCATCCCCGCATCCTAACGTCTGAATCTGCAGCGTGTCACTTACAATGCGGAGTCTACTGGATGCGGGGAAACGGCATGTTTGCTGACATTGACTTGTCCATCAACGGGAGGCCGCTCGTAGTTGCTAATATTAAGAGACAGACATCATGTATGTACCACCAGGCTCACTAACAGGATGACATAAGATTCATCAAGGGGAACTTATTGAGCATCATCACATGCATCCGGCGGGTGAACAATCTGCCCGATCCAAGATCATGACTATTGTGACTAATATGCGCTCAAAATCAGATTTGCCGACATCGACTGAATCATGGTGAACAAAAGACCGCACAGCGGAGGCATCTCCGCTGCCGGGACGAATCTTGGGAAGCCGAAGCGGCACAGAGGCTAGAACTCCTCACGGGTCTCGGCAAGTACCAGTGTTGGGAAAGGTACGGACATAAAATCGCTCAATTTGTAAGATCTTTCGGACTTATTGCGAGCGACTATGAGAAGAAAAACCTGCAGACTGACAATGGACAATGAAATCGCAAAATTCTCGTGAGGGGAATCCAAAAGATCCTGGCGTTTCTACCGGTTGCATACCGGTTGCCGCCTTTGAGCAACGCCACTGTAAGACATTTCTCGTTACATAAAAGTACCGGCCTATCAATTTTTGCTGCGCCCTCTTACAATGCGGCTCATCCCATTGGTGAAAACCGACCGCCTCCGCTGGATGGATACAGCTGCAAGCACTTTTGGCCAGAACGTCGCGAGACCCATCGCCAGCTGCTGACATGACGCCAACGCGCCGTCACGCATCCATCACAGCCGCTGGGACGAGAGGTTTTCTGCCCGGCTGACGGCGTGGGAAGCTGGCGGCGGGACGGGAGAACTGGGCAGAGGAAGCGGGGAGTACCACACGACCAAGTCTCTAAGCTGTGCCGTGTGCCCTGTTCTCGGGTGCTTGGAAGCGGAAGAGTGACCTGGTGTCTTGGTTCCTTGGAAAGTTTTGACGAGGAAAAAGCAAAATAACAGCTGGCACAAAAAGGCGCCCAGGCTCGGAGCCTTGTGGGACCTGCCGTGGACCAGTTGGAGCGGTTTCTGAGGAAAAGTCTACTTCCTTTGGTATCAAAGTACGGTTGCACCGCATCTTTCTGAGAAATCCGCCCTGACGATCGCTGCAAAGCTACGTTGTCGTGGCTGCTCCAAGGCTTCTGGATGCGAATTCTCTCGTTCCGACTGGACGGACCAGCATGTCCGGTTCTGCGGGTGGCCCGCCGACTGTTCCGCGCCGAGTCAAGCGTCAGGGCTGGAACCGCGTGGCGTCAGGTTCCCACGCTCACTCCAGGCCTTCTGTTTCGTCCGCGGCTTTTTTCCTTGCTTCTCTGCGTTGTTTCCCGCTGAGCGGTGCGCCGTGTACCTGCATGATCCATCTGTGCCGTCGTTGATCCGCCGTCCCGTCAGCCCAAGGAGAGGGGAAAGGCGACATGCAAACGTGTCTGTTGGCGGACGAGCCCATGACACATCGCACGCATGTCCGTCCCATCGCCATCCCATGTCCGTCCCATGAATCCTTTGTATCGTCCGTCCACCGACAATTCAGCAAACCCTTCGACAACCCACTACCGTGCGTGCCTAGGGCAAGCTACACACAAGCACTACGCAAACCAACATGACTCCCGTGTGCCATGCCGTCCACCACCTTTCCTGACTCCCGTAGCCCCCGCTGTGCCGCCTCTTTGGTCCCCCTTTAGCCCATACTAACAGTAACTAGGCCTTCCCTCGACTCCTTTGGGGCTTGGGCACTCCCTTGTCCGGCGCCCAAAGAACGTTTGGTTCCTGGCGGTTCCTGTCACTAAACTCTATTCGGTCGTCCGAAGGGGACCCATGAGCGATTTTCACCCCTGACAGCGCGCATCCTCCTTTCCCTCTTGGGCCTTGGCCATGTTTCCTCATGGCTGATTTCCCCGAAACCGTTCACAATGGGCTTGAAAACTCAACCTTCTCGAGGGGCGTTCCCGGCCTAGCGTTGCGCTCTTCCACCCCCTCAATTAGGGCTCTGACAACTCTGTTTGTGACCTTGTTTCTCCATGTTGCGATGGATCACCGCAGCGTCAGGGACGTTTCCAGTGGTTCCACGACTTGCTTGTCAGATTCCTGGCACTTTTTGATTGACCAGCTCGACCCGACTCGTGCCTGCGGGTCGGGAGGCACCCACAGCCTCGGCCCTCGCTGACTCTCTCAATCTCACTTTTCCCCCAAAGGATCATTTCAGCCGACCGTCATCATCGACTGCGGCGTAGCTGTGGAGTCGCCGACGCCTGCTGCGTGGGTCTCCGTAGATGGACCGAGCATTGGACTCTGGTTCGTCGTCCGTGTGGGTGACATCTCATCTCCCCTGGGTACAACGCTGTTATTCAGCTTTGCCATCCGTTCGTTTTGCAGATATGGGACTCTCATATATAAGCTCCCCCAGTTTCATCTTCTCCGGGATGCTTCTGTTCTGATCACCAACCAACCATTCTTACTCTTTCTTCTCTTCCTCCAGTCACTCCCTCGGCCGGCACCGAAAGCTCTACAGATCAGGAACCACTCCTTGATACCAACTACTAGCTTCACTCCTTCGCAAGCATACCACATCCAGTCTTTCTGAGAAAGAATCTCTTACCTCGATCTCGAGCTTTCAAACCCGGCAACCGACCCATTTTAGGAACAGATTCAGATTTCATATCTTCCACTTCAACAACAGCCAATATGTTCGCTACCGCTTTCACTACCATCCTCGCTGCTTCGGCCAGCTTGGTCTCCGCCGCTTCCATCCCGATCCGCGACTCCGGCAAGGCCGGTACTGCAGGCATGACCCCCCACGACGCCTTCTCCTCCTCAATCGGCGTTCTTGGCTGCAAGATCAACACCAACCGCGTCGCCTACTGGCCCAACTCCGTCGGCTGCGACGACATCTGCGTCAAGGTCACCAACGGCGAGCGCTACGTCCACCTGCTCCGCATCGACCAGTCCGGCGGTGCCTACGACATCTCCTACGACGCCTGGAACTACCTCAGCACCGGCAAGGGCGCCGCTGAGGCTCCCAGCCAGGGTGGCCCCATCTCCATGGAGTGGGAGGCCGTCCCCGCCAGCGAGTGCGGTTTCCTCCTCAAGGACAACGGCAAATTCCCTCTCTCTGCCGCCAACAGCATGAACTACCTTGCTTCCTGCCTGGCCCAGCCCAACAGCTTCGTCGCCAAGAACTACGCTCTCTACAACATCCAGAACTCTGCCTGCACCTGGGGCGTTGACGAGCTCTGCAACCTCGACCTCGCCGTCAGCAACCAGGCTTCCTGCCCTAGCGGTCTCGGCGTCACGACCGCTCTCAAGGACCAGCCTGTTACCAACATCGCTTATGGCACCGGCGTCGCCGCCGTCGCTGTCCAGTAAGCGCATTTGCACGGGATGCAACCAGGATACCACATTATGATGCATACGATCTTATGATACTTGTATATATATTATAGAAAGGCTCCGAGCAGGGCCATTTTTGTTTGCAATCACAGAAGTCTTTCACTTGATCCTTGTGGCTTCGTATCTTTTCCATGTGAAAGTGAATGTGAAATTGGTCGATGGTTTCTTGATGTAACGTTGAACAATGTGACCCTTGTCCGTCGCCAATTCAGTGTACGTATCCGTACTGCGTCGACGTGCCAATGTTGATCCCAATCCAGCGCCCTTGGCCCAAAAGCAAAGCGAAGTCGGTTCGCTCAGCATCGGGAAATAAAGTCAAACGTCGTCCCACCCACCCTGGAGGTGTGATAGATCATCGCCGATGGCCTGATACTTGCTTGTTGGGATTCTAGCCATCCATGCGTCTTAGCCGGCAAGTCTATGAACTAAGGCAGCCTGAAACGAAACTGCCATCTGACTGGTCAGCATAATGCAACTCCTCATGCAAGTCAGCCGCGCTCGATGGCGACAGAAATATCTCGTAGGATTTGCTGTGCCGCTCAATCAGACGTTCTAGTGCCTGTTTTATCACTCTGCAGTGCATAACAGCCGCGGCTGCAGTCCAGTTGAAAAAAGTAAGATATCAAAGCGGTTGCATTCGCGCCAACCCCCAAGGTGACGCCATGAAAATCCAAGGGCTCGAGAAAAGAATGCGACTCACTTGCGGAAATTGCGAACCACCTTCATGGCTATGGTTCCATCTCAAATACATCCGAACTCATGCATTAAGTTTAGGATGAGTATCTTCCCCCCCGTTTACCTCTGCTGTTCGCAGGGCCATCTCGGCTGGCTAACACCAAGGTAATCCTGCGCGCCTGAGACAGCATGCCGCAAACTGTGATTGGCGTACTTGACACAATCGCACATGTTTTATTGTACGAATGTGAGATCTCATATGAAAAGGCTCGATGGGCACATTTGACGTTTCTTTCCAATCATGGCATTGCAAAAGAGGATGCTTTTCATTCTAACATAATCTTACTGTTGATCTGTCACTGGATAAATGTCTTGGCCAAAGGGATGCTACTCCCACTCTTTCATAAACACTCCGAATGTAACCATTACCGATGCTGCCAGCCTCTTGGATAACCAAGCAATGAAGGCTTCTCACCTCTCGGCTATTGTCGTATTGTTCGCGCCCGATGATCACGCATCGAAGGCCGTGATGATCAAGACCGTCCGACTCGTCAAATGTGGCGTGAACCGTCAATTCTTCTTTTCTCATGTTCAATCCAAACGAGAACACTTCCATGTCCGAAGGGAAAGAGCCGTTCTTACGATTAGATGGCGCATTGAGTTCCGAGATGGAGGCACGAGTGAATATGCCTTCCAATTCATTCGTCCACTCAACTCTTTCGGACTTGAGGTCCACGTACTTTATGACACCCTCCTTAGAAATCCATGACCAGCTAGGCACTTGGTGACCTGCCGGTTGTTGAATGCGCTTCATTGGCTCAGGCTGATTTCGTTTCCACAACAGGCCACGATGCAAATATTTTACGAACAAGCCGTACGACGCTTGCGTCTCGAGTGCCCGGGCCAAACGCTTTTCAAGGCCGAGAATGGCTACGCTGCGGTCTGATGCGTGAGAGAAGGCCAAAGCAGAGTACCTCTCGTACAGATCCTGTATCAATATCTCCTTGCCGTCTCTATAGTGATGAAGAGCAGACAGAGGGAAATTTGGGTCTCCAAGAAATGCGGCTTTGGAGCTGAGGGGGAAAATATAAGCTTCTTATACGGTATATGAGAGCTTTTCTGGAATGGCTTACTTGTAAAGACGTCTCATGGTTTCGCATCGAACACCAGCACCGCATTCCCAATAAACCTGAGTCGATGTGTAGTAGATGGACCGTCTTGAAAGGGCTCTTTCTTGCAATACCCATCCGCGTTTACTGATATCACCCAACTCGACGTCATGATGAAAGTCATCGATAGACGGGGACACGTAGAGCGGCTGGTGATTCTCAGTCTCGAGTTGAATGTACGCTCGAGTTGAGCGTTCGCTAAGAAACCCCTCCAAAGACGATGTTGCGGAGACTGCACTGAGTGTTACGTACGCAGAGCTGAAGACCTCTTCCATCTTGGCTGACTCAATTTGCCAATCTTTCGCATCATCCTGTACGATGCAAACAGAGTCTATCCATAGGTATTGGAGACCAAGACCTCGAGTGACTATCACAGCATCTTTGAAGTTTTGTGGAAGGAGATCGAAAGTAATTGACGCGTGGAATTGGTCGATGTTGTCTTTGAACAGGCAGAATCTCTGATTGTCCTCCAATCTTCCCCAGCAATGACTGAGAGCGACGTACTTTGTTGTCTTGTCTGATAGAGAAGTCACCAGTTGAAGTCCATCTTGCACATCAATAAGCCGTGTCGGAACGGTAGCAACGGGAAGATATTTGCCTTGACGGCACCGCTCGTGCGAAGGGTCATCGTCGCAAGATCGAATCCATTCCTTCAATAGGGCGAACTGTTCCCTGCTTCCTTGATCCGGCAATCTTGGTGAACCTGTCTGTGCCTGAGATAGAGTGCTCAGCCCTAGGCAATATTTGGTTAGCTCGCCGATGACCAACGTCCAGCGCAGAGACCGATACCTGGTGGCGTGTAGATGGATAGTAAGGCCGGGCCATCTTCAATGCTGATGGTAGCATATGTCTGCCTGAGGCTTATTGATGAAGCCTCTATGTTTTCTCGGGTTATAGCCTCGAGAAGCATGGTGCAGAGTTTGCATGCTGGTTGGAGCATTGACGCATCGCACGTGAATTGAAATGACTTTGTAATCTTGATAGTAGTGCAGCGAGCACATAAACCTTCAGCGAAAGCAGTCTTCTCAGGCTTGACCTTATCCCAAGAGATCGATTTGAAGACGACAGCCGAAGTTTCCTCGTCGGGTCTTGACTGCCAGATGTCGTTGAGCTTGCTTGATTGCCGAGAGATGTCAGCCTACCCGAATTTATCATCAGACATCTGAAGGTAAAGTCCTTACAAACTAGATGGTTCAGCATTTTCAGATTCGCATGAACATTGGAAAGATGGATAACGAGAGCGCTTACAACCTGATGTTGACATTATCAGTATTTGAGCCGAGCTTCTTGTTGGCAGTTTTCAAATGCGTTTACTTACATTCTAAGGAGGGGAAAGTGCCTTGTGTTAGTATCTTTGAAGCACAAAGCACCTGTCTTTCAAGGATTGTACGTACGTACTATGATTGCGCGGCTGTCAGCAAAAAATCAAGAACGTCGATAAAATCCACCGAAGACTCACTTCTTGATAGTTTGATTCATCTGGGCGATCTTCGCGAAAAAGTCTCTCGCTGCAAGGTGATACAGCATGTCTGGGAGATCGAACTGTAATGTAGGAAGGATCATTCAAACACTTATTGTAGATTTCCCTTACATAAGTGTCTACCTCATACGCAGTTGCTCGAGGCTTATGCAACGGGATTTCGATGCCAGGTCCATTGACAACGAGTAATTTGAACTGAACCAAATCGAGGATCTCGCTGTAGATCGTCCCGGTGTTGAAGTCGTCTTGCATAACACTGATGCAACACTGGACAAACTGCTGCACACGGTGTTGTTCTTGCGATGATGAACGTGGAGCACGTTCCCAAAAGAAGTCTGGGGTGTTTTGCTGAAAAGTCTTCAGATCTTCGTTTCCGTAGGCCAGCCAGATCAGTAGCTCTAACATGACGCATCCCATGGCCCAGATGTCATAAGATCTTGAAATAGTGGTATTTCCGTGCTGAGACTGGACCCCATCTGCCTCAGGAGGTTCGTAACGGGAGCTTCTCGTCGGTGTTGTGGTTCGGATGATAACCTTGTCATTCCTTCTGATGTTGGCGCACGATGCATTAAATGCCGCCAAACCCAGATCTGCGATTTGCAGCTCCCCTTTGCCATGGGCTTCCGTAAACCAGAGGATGTTATCAGGTTTCAGGTCTCCGTGCACACAGTTGGAATCATGGAGTTTAGCGAGGGCGATAAACATGCCTCTGAATTCACCCATAATCCACTGCACTTGGTCGTGCCCAAGTGGACGGTTGGCGGACTGATCCCAGTAGTCACTTAAGCTACCGCCATGTGGCCATGGAAACAGTAGATACCTATCTCTGCCGACTTCGTAAGCGACGATCGGTCTGAGAAGATTGGAGGTCGTGTCATTTTGTGGAGATCCGGGACTTTGGCCTTTCCCCTCGAACAACTTGGCGAGGCCGACGTCGTCATTGGCCTCCTTCAAACCAAAAGCCATTGCGTTTCCAGGAGCCTTTCAACAAATTATTTAAAGGCCAGAGGAAGATAGTTACAGATTACTCACCTTCCTTTTGTCTGGAAGATTAATGTGCGCAGTGTGTATCTTGTAGCAAGAAACGTCACTGAGAACCCCACCCCTTGCTGGATTTGTTGGTGTCTCAAGATACGGTAGGACTGTGCCCGACGCAAATTTGAAATTAAACTGCGTTTTGGGGTCCAATAAAAGCACATTAATCCTCCATTGATAGCTCTCAAAAGAGTCGCGGACGATCCGGTCCCAGTTGGAAGAAAGAGGAGCTTTGCGATACTGTGGTCGACCGATTGGGGCGAGAAACCACTTCTTTGGATCTTCGTCGCGAATGAACCTAACAGGCAGCCAGTCATCGGTGACGCTGTTTTCCAGTAGTCCCATCAGAAGATTCAACTTCTTATCCTCAGTGCTAGACATCAATGTGAGGATCAGAAATATTTTTCGAGATCGTCCTCTGACGAAATCAATAAGCGCCGTTGCACCATGAAGACCCGCGTCTTCAAAGGTCTCTTCCACTTTCTCACGGTCGACCAAGCCGTCTAACTTGTCATAAGGCAAGAACTTTTGGCCCTTGTGATTGGAGAGAAACTCGTTGTCAATCTCTTCGCCTAGCCGATGACAGGTGTATTTATCTTGGCTCATGTTCGCTGGTGCTCACCTGTGGCTTCGGCAAAGGCTTGGGTTTTGAGGTTAGCCAAGCTCACTGCAGTTTGAAGGCTGTCGTTGGCTGCCAATCAAAGCGGACAGGAATTCCTCACCTTTGAATGTGGCGCGGTGTACGCGTGGTCATTAGCCGTTGACGTTTGACGTAACCCTGGCCGTCTAGAGCGGGTAGAATTTCATATGCTGTCCTTGTTTTTCACCCCACACGACATAACATCGGCGCGGGGATTGAGAACAGATGCGTATATTGTCACAAGAGGAAAGTGTTAGTGACTGTACCGTTTAAGAAGTGGTCCATCAGGCCTTTTACCAGCCTCTGGGGTTTCCTTTCCCTCCTCGTTCTTGAGCGTGGGCTTTACGCATGTGGCAGGTAGCACGTGAGCGACTTGCTGCTAACAGCGCCCCAAGGCAAGGAGAACACGTCGTCTGTGATACCCAGCTGAACAAGGATTTGCTGATTGCGCTAGTTTGGGTTATTATCCCATATTCTCCAATGATTACTGGGACAAACAGCGCCTCTGATCGGCATAATTTAGGCAGCCGGCCGCTCCCGGTTGCCTTGTCTTAGGTGACGTGGTGTAAAGTTATCTTTTCATCCCCCGTATACTTGATATTCCCTAATTCGGCAATTTTGCCGACCATACCAACATGTTCCCAATCGACTGCTACCCAGGACACACTCTCTTTAATGTGAACGGCTCGCCACAGTAAGTAGGGTGTGGAGGAGATATCGTCCTGTACGCCATCTAAAGGCTGGCACAGCCGTTGAAAGTTTGCTTCTGTGCACTCGTATAGTATGCGCTGCGAAAAGTTGGGATTAAGGGCTTTTATGAGACTGTTTTCTGGTAGCATATGAACTAGCGTCTGAAAAGGCAAATTGGACATGTTGTAAGCGCGTGGAGGATGCATAGGTAAAAGCTGGCGTCTTTCTTCGAAATTTGCGGCACGGATGATTGAAAGCAGAACGGGCAGACCGCGACCTAGCTGTTCGGAGCAATTAAGTTACAACGTTTTGTTCATGAACTTAGGTTCTCAAGCTAAATTCAAGAAAGGAGACCAAGGGGAAATACGAGATCTTACATTCCATTGTATCATAGGGCAGACGTTGGCGTCATAGTCCCACTCGACGGGCACTTTGCCCCAGTCCACATCGTGAGCGGCAACATCATCGTAGGCTGTGAACATGATCAGTACAAGTCTGCACCCTTCAAGGTAAAGTTGAAGCGGCTGACCCTCAGCAACCTTGCGTTCGAGATACCTGTACACACAGAGAATCTGCTCGTTGGCCCAGGGCGAGAAAGGGTGGAAGAAGTATCATGTGATATATTCGTCAATAAGGCGACTGCCCACGTCATAGGGGGTGCAGAATAGGTTGCACATGATCTGGTATCTCATGAAAGCTCTATTGAGCCGGAAGATTTCCTGCTGCGATGCCCCTGACGCATGGTCTGCCTCGAAGCTACTCTTGAACAGGGGAAGCGCCTCCGAGACCAAATCCTCTCTCAAGATTTCGATAGCTGCCAAAGCACGGCTGAGAGCAGCATACGCAGTAACGGGGAAATGTTCCAAAGATTTAGGATCGTTCTTGATGCGAGATTCCAGTCGTCGAAGAAGATCTTTGACGGAATCATGGTTGCTTGGGTCGACTACATTTGATTCGAGGAGTGCGTTCGCGTACGGAAACAAGTCGGGTGGTATTTGGCTTGATAGAATGCTGCGACATATTGTCTGAGCATTGCATTTGAAAGAGTTGTAGAATATGCGGTGGCTTCGAATAGCAATGTCAAGCTCTGCAATGGTGTCTAGCTGGTCCAAGATGCTAGAAACAATGCGCAGTGGCAGTCTGTGGATGAACGTCATCGCATCTGTGGCCTCCTTCGTTCTTTCTCTGTGATATTGTAGGGTTCAGGCTTCTATCAGGAGTATCAGCTGATGGAAAGAGGGGCAAGGCGACGTCGGAGCCGTTCAATCGTGGTGTGTTGATTGGGTATTCTTGGCTGTGCCGCGCTGACTCATCTGGAAGTCACTAGGCTGCAATATCTCGGTTGTCTTCACATTCGAAGGAAGAGATCACGATGTTCAAGGACCAGACTCTGGAAAAGCTGCCGCGGGCTTGTTGCTGGTACAGCGAACCTGACACAGAGGTGAGGTACGACATGAAAGCCATCGCCGCGATGATAGCAACGACAATTTGCAAACCAAGGATGCCCGGAGAGTCGAGATAGCAGCGAAAGTGGATAGAGACAACAGGTCAAATCATACATGTAACGGAGCAAGTCGGAGAGTATCAGGTCCAACATACTGCTTTCCTCTGCCGGCTTGCCCCTTCGAAGTTCTTCTCCAAGGGTGCACCTCATCTCTTTTTGATACGCGTACTAGTATATAGCTTCGCGTCGTTAGTAACTCGGTAGACATGTGCGGAGGAGGTGCCAAAGGAGGAATCTCTGGAGAAATTCGGTCTGTGAAGTTAGCAGTTGGTTTTTGTTAGTAAGTACTCATCGCTAGAGACTAGGGGTCGAGCAAGAAGCCCACGGGTTATCGTCATTTGGTTGCGGTCAACTCTAATGGAGACTCATGTGATCGTAGAGTCATCTTGGTCAGAAAACAGACAGCAAAGTACTATTGCCATGAAGAGAATGATAGTCTACGGCGAAGGTTTGCGAATTTCGATGGAACTCTTGGGGACCCTCAGATTGAAGCCATCCAAAACAACCGAGGATGCTCGGGCATTCCAAGCGCTCTGGTTCGTCAGTCTGCATCATTCAGGTACGTATCAGAGCTGATGATCCTTCCTCGGTTGCCTCCAGTCATTCCCTGTTCCTTCAGCGCCAACCTGCGGCGCAGAAATGCAGCGTTGCCCATTCGGTGTCTATCCTACGGCAGAGGTTACACCTAGACACTCAGTCTGAGGCTGGACAGCTCTCCTGAGGCAGGATCACGATGGAGGCTGGGCTGGGCAGAATTATACGTTTCAGGCGTAGCTTGCGAGTCTACTCTGGTTGGTCTTCCGAAGTGGTGGGAAGCCTCTCGAGATCAGAGCTACCAAGACCCGACCGCGTGGCACTGCGGTGAAGATCTCCCCAGTTATTGGAGTTTGTGTCGTTGAAATTAGCTTCGGGCATCATTCAATCGGATACAGGAGACGGTGATCGTCGCCCAATGACACGCCGTAGAAGGGCTGAAGTTGCCGAGGTTGGGTGAGGGGAAAGGGTCGGTCGGCCAGGTCTAGAGCTGCTGGCTCCTTCTGGCGCGGGATCTGTGATGAGCGGCGGCTGGCTGATGGAGGGTGGTGTGCCTGCATCCTTCTCTGATTCGGAGTGAGGGCAGAATTGTGCATGATCTGAGTTGAGGCGGTGCGGTGGCCAACGACACCGGGGGTTTGTTGAAGGCTGCACGAAGCGTGGCATGTAATTAGGGCGCAGGCAGCGAGCGAGCGGCATGGAGTCTGGACCCGAGTATTGTCAACGTGCCAACACAAGGGAGACTGGACACGATGTCTGAACCGCGGGCACGGTAGTGGGAAATGTTGTTCGAGTCTTCTCTGTCTGGTATATCCTAGGGGAATGATTGGCGCTAGGGTGTTGCGCATGAGACATGCCTCTCGAAGACCGCTGCGTCGGGAATGGACCGTGATTCTGGTCCGCTGGCGTGCCGTTCGATGCATTCGACGACTCGTTGACGAAGAGCTGCGCGGAAGAGGGTTGCACTTGGGTCTGCCAAGGGTAGTAGGGCCATCTTGGCGCCATTGGCAGGCGAGGGTCAATGGTTGAAGAGACGGACTGGTTTGATGAGGTCTCGGTTGGTCTTCTGAACTCGGATGAAAAGTGTAATTGAAGCGAAGTTAGGTAGGAGATGGAGAAGTAGCCTCGGGGTCCGACGCGGATTCCATTTCCACACATCGCTGCTGCTGTTCTTCCGGTCATTCCAGCCCGGGCCAGATCTGCCATCTGAAGAGATGGGCAAAAAGATACGGTCAGGATGCACGGTGACAGATGTTCCATCTTGGCCATGCGTCTCCATAAGTTATGTCACTGCTGCAAGAGACCCTCAGATTTTGTCATTTGAACGGAGAACCAGGCAAATCATTGCTGGATGCTATGCGTAATCCGGGTGTCACTTATTCGGTGCCCTGTCTGCTCCGTCGATCTTCCTCCCGCAACTCCTGCAACCTGTTCTTCCACTCCGCCCGGGGGTCGTATGTAGCGTCGAAGCAGGCAAGAAAGCCAAGCAGAAAGGCAAGACAGATATCGAGGTGTCACGTCGACATTGCTGGGCAGCTTAGTACGTTCTCGGGTCTCATCGCGTGGGCTTGCATGCCTTAGCCTGAGCTTCGCGTCTAACACCGAAACGGGCAATCGACCGGCGGGCCGTCCAATCGCATACCCGCCAAGCCGTCCCGGCGCAAAGTACCGAGTCGACCGGCCGAATCATGACTTTGCTGTTCGGACCATTCGAACTGCTTTGGGCTGTTGGCAGGTCCCGTTACCCCGGCTTTTGCGAGTGTGTGGTTCTTTTCTTAGGCTTGGCCGCGTAGTCCATTTCTCTCAACCATCTAATGATCCTTGATACGGGAAGAGAAGGCAGCGGCTGCGTGGGCTGAAGAGAGAGAGGGAAAGGGGGGAGAACCCAGGTAAGACGAAGGGGAGAGTCGACAAGGGAGGCTCCAGACTCTCCACCTTGACCCCATGGCGAACCCCATCCATCTCCATCATTTCCCCCCTCCCCCATCCCATCGTGCGTTTTACCCCGCAGCCAGCGACCGGGACGAACCCACTCCCTCCTCGTACCCCGGATTTGACACTGGGCTGTTCTGTGTTTGCAGGTGGTCCGGGTCGACGGGGATTTTCCATATTGGTAATAATTGTCAACTGACTGATCAATGGGACTGTTGTTGAAGAGAAGAATACAAGAAACATGGGGTTGTGGACTGTGGACGTGGGAGATTGCCAATTGACATTTGGGAACGTGGGCAGTGTCTCTGCCGGGAGAACATTGCCCGCCTTTCTCTCCGTCTGTGTCTTGCTTCTCTTCGTGCTCTAATCCTGCGCCTTTCTCTGGGCCCTGGATGTCTTTGCCAGTTTGTGTGCTGTATGTACTTCGCCGCATGCCCTACATCCTCTTCTCCTCCTGCCCATCCTTCCTTATGCCCTAATGCGGCCACACCTCGCCGTGCATCGTGACATGCCTCCATCCCCCGGGGTCGGTCGCCGGTGCCGCCACCCTCGGTATCTTCTTGTCTTGTTTTGAGTTTGATTGGTTCCCCCGCAGCCAGCAATACACCCCAGAGCTAGCATCCAGGGTGGGTTCCCCCTCTCCCACCCCAGACCAAGGCGGGGATCTCGCGACTCAAACTGCGGTCCAAGTGTCTTGTCGTACGCACGCCGGAGGGCTGGCTTCGGAGGGCGGTATCCTCTTTCTTTCCTGGGGAAGAGACGAGAAACAAGGGGACGCCAGCGGTTTGGGATGGCTTCGTGGGGATTTCGTTAGCCTCAAAAGGGAGGTCGGGAGTTGTGGGCTGGGGTCGTGTTCACTCTGCCGTCGTCTTTGATGGAGGAGTATATATCTCCTTATCAACGTCGTGTCGTCTGATGCTACCCTCTCTTGTCTACTCTCCTCTGTGTGCACCCTCCAAGATTTTGTCTTTTGGGTTGAATAACCTTCTGGCCTTTCCCGCCTTCCGAACCACGATTGTCCCTCCTCCTCGTGCCTCCTCCCTGTCCCACGTACGGCCCCAACACACAAAAACGAGCGGGAATCCAACTGAGCCCCAAGCTTTGTTGTGCAACATCCACGACACGTACAGACAAACCCAGGTTCCAGTCTCTTTGCCTGACCAGAGCATCCCCCCCTCCATCCCTTGGGTCGGGTAGACGCTCAACTCGCAGCTGCACGTCTGCGTCTTCTCCGTCGACGACTTATTCGTGACCGCCCACTCCCGGTCCTGATCTTCCTTTCCCAGACCACCGACCCAATCCGTTCACGGGAAAGCGTCGCCAACATGAGTCACAAGCACTCCGACCCGTACGCCGGCTCGGACCCCGAGAAGGTCGGCTTCGAGCACGCCGACAACCTTGCCAACTCCGTCACCGGCTCGCACGACGTCGACGACATCGATGGCGGCTTCACCAAGGAGGAGCAGCGCGCCATCATCCGCCGCGTGGACCGACGTCTCGTCGTGACCGTCGGCGCGATGTACTGCGTCTCGCTGATGGACCGCACCAACTTGTCTGCGGCCGCCATTGCGGGCATGACGGTGGAGCTGAAGCTCATGCTCGAGAACCGATACGTGAGTTGACATTGAAGCCGGCGGTGCTGATTGGCGTGGAGTTTGCTAACGGACATGGCTGCGCAGAACATTGCCTCGCTTCTCTTCTTCATCCCGTACATCATCTTCCAGCCGCCCTCGACCATCATCGTCCGCAGGATCGGCCCGAGACTTCACCTTGGCGGACTCACTCTGCTTTGGGGTGCGGTGATGATCGGCATGGGTTTCGCGCGTACCTACTCCCACCTTTATGCGTGCAGAATCCTGCTCGGTGTCCTGGAGGCTGGCTTCTTCCCGTCCTGTGTCTATCTTCTGAGCACATGGTACACGAGATGTGAGTGCCCCCAGTCCCTCATCTAGACTGGAGATGAGAATGAACTGACAAAATCAGACGAGGTCGGCAAGCGATACTCCGTCTTCTACCTGCTCGGCTGCGTCGCCTCCGCCTTCGCCGGTATCCTCGCCTACGGCCTCATGCAGCTCAATGGCCGCGAGGGTCTCACGGGCTGGCGCTGGATCTTCATTATCGAGGGTGTCTTGACCTGCGCACTCGGAATCGCCGGATACTGGCTACTGGTCGATTTCCCCGACTCCA